AAAACACAACAACAACGAAACTAGACCACCAACTTACACCATGCACAAGAATAAACTCAAAATGGATGAAAGACTTAAATGTAAGTCAGGAAACCATAAAAACCCTAGACAATCCCGGACGGCGTAGCTCAGTAGTTGAGCATTAGCCTATGAACCATGAGGTTATGGTTCGATTCCCGGTTCGGTTCCCAGTCAGGGCACATGCCCAGGTTGCAGGTTCGATCCCCAGTGTGGGACGTGCAGGAGGCAGCTGACCAATGATTCTCTCTCATCACTGAGGTTTCTATCCATCTCTCCCTCTGTCTTCTTCTCTGAAATAAATAAAAATAAAAAATGCAAAAGAAAGCATTCCAGTACTAGCCAGTGGATAGAGCATCAGCCTTCGAACTGAAATGGCCCAGGTTCGATTCCAGTCAAGGGCACATGCCCAGGTTGTGGGCTCGATCCCCAGTGGGGGCAGCCGATCCATGATTCTCTGTCATCATGGATGTTTCTCTCTCTCCCTCCCTCTTCCTTCCTCTCTGAAATCAATAAAAAAAAAATTTTTTTTTTTTAAAGAAAGCATTCCAAAAATTTTGGGACAAGGTCAGGTGGGGTTAGGGGTGGGAATTCTAATCCCACCACTCAAACATTTTTATTTATGTCAAAATTTTTACCAACCAAGTGCACTGCAGTGGAAAGAGAGCAGTAAGCAAGATACAGCAGATATGGTTCCTGGCCTTACTGACCTTAAGTGGCCATCAAACAAATTACCCGAATAAAAAAAAGGTTGGGGATTGAAATGATTGTGATAAAGCTGGTACAGGCTGCTGTGGAAAAGAAAGACAATGAGACCCAACTGAGTCTGAGGGTTCAGAAAAAAGCCTTCTGAAAAAGTAACAACAGTTCTTATCATTTTGCTATATTCTCCTCCAGTATTTTCACACACATGACTTTTTACAAAGCCATACATGCACATTACATACAATTTTAATCCTTTTAAAACTTATTATATTTATCCAGGCCCTTAATTGAACATGACTAGGATTTGGCAAATATCATCAAATTGCTTTCTAGAACTGGAAAGTCTTATCAGAAATGAATGGGAAAACATTTCACTGCACCTTTTCAAGCAATAAATACAGGAAAAAACAGCTTGCAGGTTTTTGTTTGTTTGTTTTATTTGATTATTAGGGAATGACTAAAAAAGGTGAAGGGGGAGGGTGGGAGGGTATCAACCAAGGTTCTTATAGGCATGTATGCATGGCCCACGGACACAGACAATGGGGTGGTGAGAGCCTGGGTTGGGAGTGGGGGGCGGGGATGGACTGAAGGGAGTCAATAGGGGACAGAGAGGGCATATGTAATACTTTCAACAATAAAGAATTATTTTAAAATAAAAATTAAAAAGTCCAGGATGTTTAAATCAAGGAATCATAACATTTCACAATCTAAATTCCTCATGGTGTAGTATTTTCAACAATAAAGATTAAAAATAATAATTTTTTTTTTAAAAGTGAAGGCCAGCATAGCCCAGTGGTTGAGCAGCGACCTAGGAACCAGGAAGTCATGGTACTATTCCCCGTCAGGGCACGTGCCCAGGTTGCCAGCATGCAGGAGGCAGCCAATCAATGATTCTCTCGCATCCTCAATGGTTCTATCTCCCTCTCCCTTCCTCTCTGAAATCAATAAAAATATATTTTTTAAGAAGTGAAGGGGAATAAAAGGTACTACCTTTCAGTTATAAGTCATGGGGATTTAAGGTACAGCACAGAGAATAACAACACAATAACTTCGTAGGGTGACAACATTATTATTAGACTTGTAGTGGTCACACCATCAAGTATATAAATATCGAATCACTATGTTGTACACCTGAACCTAATATATTGTGTCAACTATAATTTTTAAAGAATTTTAAAGACTGAATGTTTTAGCATGTTTCTTTACAAGTTGAATGAGTTAATTTGATGTATTTAAATTTTTTCTGCATATACAATTAATGCTTACTGTAAAAAGTTCAAACGTTACAGCACTTGATAACAATAAAAATGAAAAATTCCTATAATCCTAACACCTGCAGGAATCCAGTTAACTATTTGCTATATATTCCTCCAGACTTCTTTTCATACAATATTTTAACAAAAAAGTGCAGAATTGTACATTCCTTTCGCATGTAAGTTAATATGGTGAGTTTTGGTTTCTTATAAGTAAAATAATATTCAGTCCAAAACGACAACAAGTGAAGCACACAAAACCAAATAGTCCGTCTCTGGGAAGACTCGTTCTCACGAAGCGAATTTCTTCTGGAACAAAGACAAGGAACATTCTCCCTCAGGAATAATCCTCGGGCCGTTGCCAATAGTGTTTTTCTAGGGGTTTGATCTTTTTAATTCATAAATAATCGACACGGAGAGGTATTAAGGTGCTAAAATCCTTCTCCGAAGTACAACCGGGCCCCAGGGCAGGGGTCTGGGCGCTGTCGCGTTTGGAGAAAACCAGGCGGCCCGGCTGGAGACACATCACTAGTCCCCCCACCCTACGCCCCACCCCCAAACAGCGCGGCCCCCGGGTCCTCCTCTGCCTCGAGGAGCGGGGCTCTGCCCGCAGCCTCCGAGCTCTGCGGGGCCGGCGGCAGCGGGGAAGGAGCACAAAAGCCCTCGCACCGCCCGCACCCGCGCCCCCCAGGCCCC